AGAGCGGGGGCGGGGGCTGGAAGCACATTTGGGGGAACACAACCACAAATTTCATCTGGGAGAAATGAAGGAGGCAGGAAGATACAGAACGCGGGATTTCCCTGTGAGCACTGGTTAGCAAGGCCCTAAAACCAGGCCCACTGATGCTAACCTGGGCCTGGAAGTTGCTTCCTTAGTGGAGGAAGGAGGGACTAAAACAACACATAGACGAGCTGGGCGAATCGTGGAGGAAAGTGCAGAAGGGAATGGACTACAACTTGAAACCCATTCATAGTGGGAGAAGAGCAGGAGGCAGTGAAAGAAACACACACACAAACTGTGAGGAATGTAGTAAGAATCATGACAAGAAGCCACGGGAAGAAAACCTGGCGAGGAGGAGGAAATAAAACAGGTCAGTCACATCACAGGTGGGCTTGGGCTGGCTGGAAGTACATGGGAGCGACAGTGAAGTCTGGCGTGAGGTGGGTATAGAATCAGGTTTTGGGTGAACACGGGGTAACAAGAATCAGGGAGCAAGTCTGGCAAGGAGGAGACTGACGGCCACGTGAGATGATGGAGGTGAGTTCCTCCAGGCAGGCCCTAGCTTGTCCTCTCCAACACACGAATGTGCAGAAACTGCTAAGGATGAATGACATCAAGTTTGGGTTGAGGAGTTTGGCCAAGGAAAGATGCTTCTGGTTCCAGAATCCATGCTCTAGTCCCTGCACACTCCCTCTCTGTGAGCCTTCACTCCCAGGCCAGTCCTGATAGGGAAGGGGAATCAAGTCCCAAGGCAGCTTCTGGGCTCCCTGTTTCCTAGGTCTTCTCTCAGACAATAAAAATTTACGGCAGGGAAACCAAGCGCTGGCAACGATGACCAAGTTAGGGTTTGGGACTTGCGATATTCTGGAGGAAGCCAAGAGTGGAAAAGGGAATTTCTGATTAATACATGTCAGCTGGTGGACTGTGAGACATTCCAAAAACAAATACACACAGCCACGTAGAAGCTGTACAGAAAAGAAAATAAGCCGCAAACATGTTAAAAAAAAAAGGGGGGGGGGAGAAAAATTCAACCTGTAATTAAGACACATGGCTGGTCTCTTTCCAAGAAGAGAGTGGAAGTTGGCATCTGCTGGAATTTGCCAAGGAGAGGGGCCCAGGAACTGGCCGGGCAGGGCGCCAATCCGACAGCCACAAGCGGGGCTCGGCAGCATCCGGCCCACAATTTGTCACAGCATCCTAACAACCGGCGTTTTCTCTTCGAATCCCCTGTAAGAAAAAAAGAGCAGAGTTCATTATGTTCTATTGTATTCTCCCAAACCCTCAAAACATAAACTCTTTAACCAAAATTAACCCTAAGTTTTCAGCTCATGAGCAAAACCATGTTTTAGATTCACGAACTGAACTAAAGAGACTGCTGAGTATGCCAGTCAAGAGCCTACCACCAGCCAGGCCCCGTGAAAGGGGATAAAACGTTTCTCATGCAAAGTGCAGGCAAACGAAGGCTGGATGGTGATTTAGAATTGGAATTGCACAACACTGACATCAACTGGGATCTGAAGACAGAGCTCGCTGTTACTATACAGCGAGCCATACCCACCAGAAACACCAAGTCATTGGATCTTAGAGAAGGCTTTAAATTTTAGCAACTATTATCAATCTGTCCACGTACCATCAGAGAACTCAAAGAGATCCCAGGTTAAATAACACAGTGCTCTATAAATCTCCTGCTAACATTCAGATATTATCTTTAGAATGAACCAGATTAGAAAAGCAAATGCTTAAGATGAAAAGGTCCCCAGCAGTATTTAATAAGCTATAACTAATTTCTGTTTTAAAGCCATCCCTTTTAGAAAGGATCATTTAGAAAAACCATTTTCTCCTTTCTTCCCAGATCATGTATATTTTGTTTTAGTGTAGCTCCTTCTCATCATCAGCTTTACCGCTGACCAACCATGAACTCAGTTCTGGCCTCAAAAGGTCAAGATGGTTCAATCACACATGGCTTGAGACCGGACAATGCAAGCAGGGCTTCCATTTCCCCTTTTCACCCCCAACAACCGGACAAGCATGGCACAAGAGTAAATCGGAGCCACGCAGCTCGCTCTGCTGGTTCAAACAGCAAACTTCCCACCCTCTAACCTCAGGCCTACCGCACTCTGCATGGAGCTCCATGGCCTCCGCCTGTCAGTTGTAAGATTTCCAACAGAACTGGTAGGTGAACCTTCAGAGCTGACTCTGGTGCCCCATCCCCTCAAAGGAGATAACCAGATCTCACCTATCTTATATTTTGCATCATGAAGAGAAAAGGTAAACCACAGTTGAAGGCATTTCCAGTTTAAGATATGAATTTAGCCTACTGCCATACTCATCTCAGTGCCTTGAGGAGATAGAAAGCAGTATTTCTAAATTAAAATGCCAGACACAGCAGGAGCTTTCTTGTAATCCCTAAAACCCAAATATAGAAAACAAAAGGAAAATACAACCTTCTGAAAACATAGGCTTTAACCCCCTTTTACAAGCTATGGTGGTTTAGTTCTTTAGGACACCGAAATAAGGCAGGTGGAACCTCAGAGACTTCCGTTGGGTCAGTGGCTTGGCCCACCAGGTCCCCAGCGTCAGACGCAGCCCTACAAACCTGGGGCCCTTTGTCCTGGCTCACTTTCCCAAATAAGCAGACCTTCCACTGGCACATCTCTGGCTTTATGTTCCGGGTGACGATTGGAAGGGAGGCTCCAGAGGGCCATGTTACAGGCAAGGCTCGAGCATCCCTCAGAAGGCCTTTGAGGAGATCATCTGTGCAGCTATTGTTGACACCTAAGTCCAGGTAAGAACTTTGATTCTTAAATTAACTTATTTCAGCAAGTTCAAGGGGATGGTGAGGAAGCCAAGCTTGATTTACCAGAACACTGGAAACTCAAAGACAATTCTCAATTCCAAAAACAAAATAATAAATGGCCACAGTTGAAAAAGTTTTTTTGTTTTTTGTTTTTCTTTTAAAGGTTGAGGAGACTGCCCTCAAGGAAAAGGCAAAGCCTGAAGATATGAAATAGGTACAACTCTATTAATCTTCTCTTACCCCACAGGGGCAAAGCACGGACGAGGCACAAATCCCTCATTGAATACTAAACATCTACAGTTTAACAATGTAGACAATTCACAATGGAGTTGGTCCTTTGTATTTCACTACTGTTAATAGCTAACATTTGATGCTCACTATTTGTCACAAGCCCAGTGAGTGCTTCACTACACTATTGAATTTAACCATGCAGCCACCAGGATCCAATGCTTAACCATCAAGCAGCACTACTGTCCTTATTATGGAATTGTTTTGATTAACGATGCATGGAAGTTAAAAACAAAAACAAAAACCACTTCCAACCATCTACAGCATATAGTTTTTCTAAGTCAAGATTATATTGCTACTGCCAAGTTCACGTTAATACTCTTAAGGCAGCAGTTCTCAAGTTTTCTGGTCTTAAGACTCCTTTACACTCTTAAAAATTGAGGACTACATAAAGCTTTTGTTTATATGGGTTATATCTAACAACGTTTGCTGTATTAGAAAGCAAAACTGAGAAATGTTTAACATCTTAAATTCATTTGAAACCAAATAATGTTAACTTAAGCATATTTTTATAAAATAACTATATTTCCCAAAACAAAAATTTAGTGAATACCACTGTTTTAGATTTTGTACATCCCTTTGATGTCTGCCTTAATAGAAAACAGCTGGATTCTCACATCTGCTTTTATACTTGTGGCTTTGATTGAAGTACATGAAGAAAATCCAGACTCACAGCAAAAAGTATAGGGAAAAGGGAGAGATATTTTAAAAGTCTTTTCAGATAATTCTGTATACTCATTTTTGATGTACAAAACTCAACACCTGGTAGTTTCTCAAAGGTTAGTTGCAATGTAGAATATGAAGCCATGTCAACGAAACTTTCAGACCCTGTTACATTAAAACCTAGGAGTTTAGCTGATGCTTTGAATGCCTCTTTCATCCCTGCATGATTTTGTAATTTCATGCATTGGTCTTTTGGAAAATATTGGTTCAGTGATTTATGCAGAGCTTCCAAATATCAGCACAATTCTCTATACAGTATCAAAGTCATACTGGTTAATATCACCACTGATCTCATCAGAAAATTCCCAAGCATTGGGACAGTATCAAGTTCACGGTGCTGGATACAAGTTAATTGGCAACAAATACCATTAGTTTTTTCCTTGAAGTCACAGGCTCACTTCTTTTTTTTTTTTTTGGAAATGTATTCCAATTATCCAAGTATGAATAGCCATAATTTGCCATTCTTTGAAGCAAAAATGGTTCTCTGTGAAAAAAAGGGGTCCAGTTCAGCTCACAACTCAATCGCATAGATGCTTTACCTTGACAACCATCAAACTCTAATACAGAACAAGTGCATCCACTCACCACATGGCATACTAAAAATATATATCCTCGGGTGTCAAGATTTAATAAAATTTATCATTTTTACCACTTCATAAAGGGTATTCTTAAGTAAAGCTGGCAATTTTCTTTTTTCCTTTTTTTAATTGAAAGCACATGAAGAATACCATGTCTACTGGTATAGTTTGATGCTACAGCCTTGATTTGTGCAAAGGCACCAGTAGTTTTAACTAGTATTGCTTTTGCACCATCAGTTCGAATTCAACAGTTTATTCCAGAATACACCATGACATTCAAAAAAGTTATTCTACACTGATATGTTAGACCTACGTGTGTTTGCTGCTAAGCATTCACTAAAAAGATATTTTGATGATTGGTTTGGTGCTGATACCAGAATACAAACAAAATGGCAAATCCAGCCGTGATTGCAAATTCTTCCATTGTAAGGCAAAAATACACTTCTGTTAAGATACTAACTCGGTCTTCATGTTTGCAGCTAAATTTTTAAATTGACGAATTTCTGTATTATTAGAAAGTGGCAGTGCTGTGATTTCTTTCAATGCTTATTCTGCCAAACAAAGCTTTATCGTATATTTCTCTGGACATTGCAATTTGATAACTTATCCTGCCAGATGTTTCAATAGCTTTTTCATTTCTAGCTAGAAAGCTGTAATGAATGATTTTTGGCTTTTATAGAGCTCATCGTATCTACTTTTAAGCCATTCCATTCATTTTTTCTTTAGATGACTCTAAATGGTTGGTCTCAGAATGTTACCGGCACCACCTTATTCAAAAAAGTTCTATGTCATAAGATACATAAGGTAAATTTCTAACATCCGTAATACTGAGGACAACATTATTATTTTTTATGTCTTATTTAATTGTGTCCATTTCTCTGGAGTAAATGTCTCCCTTCCATGAGTCAGATAACTCTGATATGTCATTTCATTTTTTAATTTTTTTGGAATTAATAGGCACAATAGTGTAGCTTTGAGTAGAAAAATCAAGTCTTCTCATATCCCCTTTTCAGTCAATAATCTATCCTTAAATATAAACATGTACAAATATTCTTTTTAGCATATTAAATTTGAAAGAATTTTTATGCCATTTAAAAATTTAGGAAAGTTTTCAAAACAAGACAACAAAGCATACTTTTTATTTTTCCATGAAGGTACGAGGAAAACTTAAGTAACGACTTAAAAGAAAATGAGGTCACAGAGATGACAGCAGGTATAACTGAAGGCAGCTAGTAAGTATGCAGTAGAAGTGTTAAGAATGAACTGAGTTCATCTCTGAAAATGCACACACATTTATACTCTAAGCCTACTATCCTCCGAAGATTCTAGAAACGCAAGAATACACAAGCACACATTTTATTAGCCATCAGAAGAAAAGCTCTTCACAAGTTACGGAGCCTCTGGAAAACTCTACTGTACACTTAGGAGAAAAATAATGAAAAAGGCAAATAGTATCTTAGTATCATTTTAAAAATAGTTTTGACCTCATGGACCCTACAAAAGTTCTCAGGGAACCCCAGAGTTCCCTAGATCACACTTTGAGAAAAGTTGTCCTAAAGTAATACTTGTTTTGCCAAGCTAGTTGTTAAATTTACATAGGGAAACCATCAAAGATTCTCGGTCCCTCCTTAAAGATCAGATGATAGTCCACAGACTCTCTCCCAAACACGTTGTTTAACTGCAAAGAGATGAAAAAGAAACAGGTCAATAGACTCTCCTCCAGAAATGATGGAACTGTTCCCCAACTAGGCCTCTCTAGGGTGGCTATTATATAACGTCTCCTATCTCCTGGCCTATATCCTTATCTGCATTAATCACAGCAGAACTTTAAGACAGTAGTGGCGTCACTGAGAGGGTGGGGGTGATAGACTCAGAGCTCAACTGTCTTTGGTAATTGTTTCGAAGTGGGGTGGGGTTGGTGAAGGAAACAAGAATGATAATACTGAGGTCTCTAATGTGTGCTGCTGCAAGAATGGTCTTCCTAGAGAAGCAGGTCAGGTGAGAAGATAAATGAGTTTGGTTTTGGATGTGTTGGTTTTAGGTGCCAGGAGACAATATGGCTGCCTCTCTCCTAAAGCTGAGAGCTCTGATGAGTTCCTATCAGCGCCTGATGCATGTCAGTACTCACCAGACACTGTTGTGTTGAACAGGCAGGTAGGAAGGAGAAAACAAGAAATACCAGGAGTTTGTCTATAACACAAAACATAGAATGCCCCTGTTCTCAGAAAAAAATTACTTCAGTTTCTTAAGGAAAGACTTCAATTATGATTGCTCTGAAGAGAGATAATTGTTTCCGGAAAAATAAGAAAAGCTCCAATTTATGAAATATTAAAACCCAACAAAATAGGCCTTTTTCCTGAGTATGCACCATCGGTTTCCCTTTATGTTCTTGCTGTCTTGTGATCTCAAATTTCTAATTATTCTTAGCCATGGAGATAGTAAATAAGGGTGCATTAAGTAATGTCTCCAGCACATTAAGCATGAAGCTAAATGTATCCAGCCCCTGATGAATGAATGGATTAAGAAAATGTGATACACACATGCACGCGCACATGCGCATGCAATGAAATATTATTCAGCCTTGAAAAAGGAGATCTTGTCACATGTGACAACATGGATAAAACTCGAGGACATTATGCTAAGTAAATAAGCCAGTTACAAAAGTACAAAAGGCCAAATTTTGTATAATTCCACTTGTATAAGTTATAGGTTATCTAAAGCAGTCAAAAATCATAGAAACAGGAAGTAGAAAGGTAGTCGCCAAGAGTGGGAGAGAGAGGGGATATCAGTGTTTGATGGGCATAGTTTCGGTTTTACAAGATGAAGGAGTTCTGCAATATAAATATACTTGCCATTACTGCACTATAAACTTAAAAATGATTAACATAGTAAATTTTGTTGTGATTAAAACCACAATTTGAAATAAAATTTATATTAAAAAACAAGTCTCCAGCCCCAAGAAATGGTCTGTGCATACACATATTGCTGAGGAGCTAGGAACTTTCACCCAGTGAAGATCAGTGGTACTCCCAGAGACTTGACAATACAATTGCCTACCAAACCTAACTCATCTGAACCCCCAATCCATTGTGCCATTGAATCCCTATCAATTCTTTTTTCACTTGCCAACCTGCTGGAACTATTGTTCTCCTCCTACTGCCTTTATCTTTTCTTCCAGTCTCAGGGCTCCTCAAAGTGGAGCTTCCTGCTCTGGACTCAGTGAAACTGCTTTTACAAGAGGTCAGCCATTGTCTAGTTGACAACTTCCCAGCCCCAGCGCCCTCTCTCACTTCTAAAGGACGCTGATGACCAGGCCCACCTTCATGTCCCCTGGATTCTCCCACCTCTTATTCTGCTTTAAGGACCAATAACGCTCATAAAACATATCTGCAAGGCAGTCTCACCTTTAAACTTTCTGGTTCATAAAGTAATAATGTGTCCTCTTAATAGTAATGACTCAAGGGAAAATCAGGCACCTCCTAACTACTGAGAGTTGACAAGCACCTGCTCTCCTGAACTGTTATTGAAGCTTCACAATAACTCTGAAGCGGGGATCTTTTCTCCCTTACACAGGATGGACTGATCCGCCCAGGAGGAAGCCGGAGGAAACCAGGTTGTTGAGTCTCAAACCCTCTCTCCACCACCCCCACTCGTCTCCCTCAAGAGAAGAAATGCGACCAGGTACCTAAGAGAGAAAACAAAGAGGAAACACTCCCTGGCAGGTGGCATCTTCCCGACCACCCTCTACCCGCTCCAGGCGGCTCCTCCTCCCCGCTCCCCAGGGGAGAGCACCGACCAGCATGGGGGAGGAGGGTTTCAAGGCCACGCGCCGCACTCTCTCCTGTGTGAGCCTACCTTGCCAAACCTCAGTTTTCTTCATCATCAGATATGGGGCAGTGAGAGGGCCACCGAAATAGATTGTTGAAAGAATTTAACAGAATCAATCTACGAAAAGCACATAGCAAACTGCTCAACGTAAAGACAAGAAAGACTCCAGCGAGCATCTGGGGATGATCTGAAAGCCAGAAAAGGGTCAGGGGTGGGGAAGAATCCCGGAGCCCTAAGAGCGAGCTACAGAGGGCGGCCTGGCTCTGCGGAGCGGGAGTCCCCCTCCCCCTATGCACATCTGCCCTGGACTGGGACCCAAGAAGATGCAAGGGCTTGCGCTGCACACGGGTCTGTGGCCTCAGCCTGGTTCCCATGGAAAGGGTGTGAGACCCCACTCTCCTCGGGGATTGACTGGATAAACCGGTTTCATGAGAACAGCCGCGGCGGTCCCGAGTCTCTGGCGGGGGATGCCCTTCCAAAAGGTGGAAGGCGCAAGGTGTCGTTCTCTGCGGGCCCCAGCAGAGCCCCGGGCCTCCTCCAGAGCTGACCTCCCAGCTCCGCGGTGCCCGCTCAGCTCCGGCGCCGCGGCCGGGTCGTATCTATCCCGCCGGCCGGGAAGAGGGTGCCCGCGACGTCGGCCTCTGCTCCCAAAGGGGGCTGAGCGCCTCGGGACAGCCACCCGGGGAACCTCCAGCCACCTGCGCACTGACCTTCCGACGCAGCGGCCCAGAGATGCTGCCATGTGGCGCGGGAGCCGGAGCGGCACGTGGCACTCGGCCGAAGCGCCGCGAGCGGAAACCTCAGCGGGTGCCGGGCGCGCTGCGACTTTATCCTCTCGGCGCCCAAACCCGCGCCGAACGCACCAATCCCCTTCTTCGACGTGAGCCGCCGGCGTGGCGCCAGGTCACCTGGGGGTGGGGCTTGGAGCCGAGGATCGCGCGGGTCGAGGTAGCTAAACTCTTCCAGCGAATCCCCTCAGGTCCCTGGCCGCGCGGTCCCCTCACCCAGCCTCTGCCCGGCACCCACCCCGTGGAGAATTCAGGGGCCGCGAGGGGCGCAGTAGAGCCCCGCGCGCGGCGTCTCTAGTAGCGGCGGTGCCAGCCTGCCCCTCCTCGCGTGGGCACCGTCAGGATGCGGACAGCTCTGCAAGGGCATTCCCCTAAACGCAAACCCGCCGTCCTGGAGCCTCAGAGAACCCGCTCGTGTTGGCTTTTAGCGGCTCCGCATTGGACATGTGAAGAATGCAGGACGCAGATGAGAAAGCTGGAAAGATAACTGAGGAAAATGCCCGGGACGGAGTCAGGAGATCTGGTATGGAGAGACCTTGAACAGCTCACTTCATCTCAGTTTCCCACATGGTTTATACATCGCTGTAAGAGTAAATGACTTACAAGCCACAGACCCCGGAGTCAGTATCACCTGGGAGCTTGTTTAGAAATGCAAATTTGAGGCCTCATCCCAGACCTGTGAGTCTGAATCTTTGGTGGCGAGGCCCAGCTAGCTGTGTTTGAGCAAGACCTCCAGGGGATGCTGATGCGTGCTAAAGTTTGAGAAGTTCGTAATGGGGCAGTGGTGCTCAGACCTGGCTGCATATTAGAATCACCAGAAGTTTCTGAATTTCTCAAAGCCCAGGTTGCACTCAAGACCAAATGAATGTCTTTGGGCGGGGGCGGTGAGGTGCGGGAATCCAGGCATAAGTATTTTTTTAAAGCTCCTCAAGGGGTTCCAATGTGCCTTGCTGTCAAAGTTGTGAACCACCCATCTTCCCTAGAGGCTTGGTACTCAAGTGTGGTCCCTGGACAAAGGAGCCCCCACCCAGGGCTATTAAGTCATAATCTGCATTTTAACAAGATCCGCAAGTGAGTCTCATGCACATTAGGGTTTAGGAAAAACAGTTCTAAGGTCCCGTTAAGAACCTATGGTTTTATGAAATACGTCTAATTTTACATTTTTCAGGCTCTTGGGAGGCCTCATTTCTTCAGCATTTTCTCATATGATATGACATGTTCCTCATTATGGGTCTTCCTTCGGTGCACTTGGATTTTGAAATATTAATTACAGATGTTGAGCCTCTCAAGATACTTTAGAGATTATTAAGGCCATTTATACCCACTTCACAGTAGAAAAGGTGAAGCCCCACCCAGAGACATGAAGACATTTAGTTAAGGCCAAGGGGACCAGAATGCTGACCCAGGCAGTAGGTCCCTTGCCCTTTCCAATAGACCCCATCATATCATGAGAAATTATTTTTTGTTTTCCTCAAATCCGCGATGGCGTCAGAGATGACATTGAGCTTGCTTCGAGTGGGGTTGTAGGCAGGGATTTACATTGCTTCTGGTCTGGTTGGTTAGGGAGGAGGGGGAAGCATCATTTCAACCTTTATTTCTGAGAAGGATCCAAGGAGAAGGGTTGATTTCCAAGGGACTGAAAGGTGGGTGGTTGCTAGCTGCCTAGCATCTATTTCTCTCTTCCTCATGGTATGTAAATAGTCTGGTATGAGTAGCATCAGCCCTCCACCTCCCCCAACTGGCAGAGACACTCCCTTCAGACTTGAATCCTGATTGGAGTGACAAAGAATCTGAAGAAAGCAGATGATGTCTCTACCAGCAAAGGCCCTCTAAGGTCAGCCCTGCCAGGGGCCACTGCCTGTGGACTTCCAGGCTCTGGGACTGCTTGGGGTTCTTGCTCCTTTCCAGACTGGTTCTCCAGTCTTCCCAACCAGTCTTTGCTTTCCTCATATCCTTTGGCTTAAGTCAGTAAAGTAGGTTTCTGTTACCCAAGCTTAGATAAGGATAGTATTAAGACTTTCCCTCCATTTTCAGGGTTGAGATTTTGGCTCTCAGATCGGAAACCCAAATAATAAAAAATAGATAAAAATAAATATCCTCCAGTCCATATTGCTATAAACGAATGAATGAATGAATAAATGAGGGAGAAGATTCAACTATTTCGTACAGAAGAATTCCAACTAATAAATGTAGAAAGAATGAAGGAAATAGGCATTCCCCATAAGAACGCCACAGCAATAATTGCTGCAGGCGAGATCCACAGATAGATGCTAATTAGTGGATGAAAGCTTGGAAGAGGAGGATATTTGTGTGGTCTCAAGGTATCTCTCCCAAAATAGATGTTTATTAATAATAAAGGGAAAATAGTAACTTTATGGTGAAAAAAACTGACAGTCACCCCCTTGACCAAGTGACTAAGGTTAACATCATCAGAAATATTGACATCATGTACCTCATAATTTGATGCACTGGAAAGAGCATTTCACTTCTGTCATGTCCTTCTCAATGATGCATAACCTCAATCTAATCATGACATCAGACAGCACAAATAGAGAAACATTTCACAAAACAACTGACCATTGCTCTTCAAAAGTCTCAAAGTCAGGAAAGACAGGATTGTAATACACCGAAGTCAAGAGTGTGTGTTACATGCCATTGAGTCAGCTTCGTCTCCTTGTGACCCTATGAATGAGCAATGTCCACAGTGTTCTGTCCTCAGCAGCCCCACTCAGCTCCTGTAGACTCTGCCTATGGCTTCTTTTATGGAGTCAATCCATCTCATATTTGGTTTTATTTTTTTGATTAAGTATAGGGTGGGATCCTACATCGGATCCTGGAACAGAAAAAGAACATTAGTGCAAAAACCGGTGAAACCGAAATAAAGTTTGTAGTTTAGTTCATTGCATTGTCCTAATGTTACTTCTTTAGTTATGAGAATCTTGCTATGCTTATGTTATATTAGGGGAAGTTGTGGAAAGAGTATAAAGGAACTCTACTATTTTTACTACTTTGGAGGTCTAAAATGATCTTAAAAGAGAAAGTGTAAAAAGTATTTTAAAAAGTAAAATAAATACATGCAGTAAAATCTGTCAATAAAAATAACTAAAAATCTTCCTAACAATGTAAATATGTAAAATTTCACTTGGGAAAAATAGACTTTGTAGAAATAATGACCACAAAAGGAGATTCACAGAGGGAGAAATGGTATTTGTTTAACTCTGAAATGAGAAAAAGACGACCCTGATTGATAAATCAGATCTTTGTTGTAAAATTTAATGGGAAGTAATCAATTCCAAATAAAAATCAGTAATGTAAAATGAGGAAGGAAAATAAATTATTTATAGAAAACTGATTACAGATCTATATTGACTTAATGAAAACATATTTTTCTCTACGCAATTAGAAAATATGAGAACGTTTCTAAGTAGGGCATGTCCAAAGATAGTGTTTTGTTTAAGACCTGTATGTGGTTAAGAATAAACACATGCAAATTCCATGCTTTCATTTCAGGATCCCACAGTGATTTCATCTAAAATATGAAGGGAAAGTCTTATTTCTGTGTAAAGGCAAAGAGAATTGCTTGGATAGGGCCTTGCGCCCAGAAGGAATAATGGAATTGAGCCACGGGGAACAGGAGAGTAAATTCCACGAGGCCACAGCTTCTGCTCTAGTCACGCAGAGTCCAGTTACCAGGCTTTTCCTTCCAGTTGCAGGAGAATTTGGTCAAGATCGCACTGTCCCATGGCCACACCCCATGTGTGGCTACTGAGCACTTGCCACTTGATTAGTCAGAATTGAGGTATGCTGTTAGTGTAAAGTACACACCAGATTTCAAAGAGATGAAAAAGATAATATGAAATCTCTTACATTGATTATAGGTTAATTAGATAATATTTTAAATATGTTGGGTTAAATTGAAAGTTTTATAATTAATGTCACCTGTTTCTTTTCACTCTTTTGATTGTGGTTAGAAGAAAATTTTACATTACTTATGTGATTCATATCTGTGGCTTGCATTGTATCTCCATAGTACAGCACTGGCCTAGAAGTTCCCAGAAAAAGCCCCGTAGGCTATAGGCCTTCTCACCCTCTCCCTCTCCCATTTGTAAAAGGCCAGTTCAATGCCTCGGGATTCCTTACATCCTCGAAGTTCTCCATGTGCCAGTAGAAGAGATGTGTGGACCAAAAATGGGTTCTACAGAAAGTAATCTTAGGGTGATCTGATCATAAATTCCTAACTGGGCAGGTCACACCACAGGCATATCACTTCTTTACAGAATGGCTTATCTTTGCCTTAAGCAAGCCCTGACTATTGTTTCTGTGCATCTAGGTTAACACACCTTTGAAATGCCCCCTTTCAGACCCCTCTTTTTAAAGTGTGACCACCCTCAAGAGCCAATCCCCACCTTACTTTCTCCCACCTTCCTATAAACTTCCTTTGTTCCCTCCTTAATCTCAGGTGCATTAAAGAAACTACAAGCTGTTATTCTTGGAAGCATTGTTCTCAGTCTGTTGAGATCTTGCTTCAGGCATATCCTCTGTTTGACTCAATTTTTTGTAAAAATTCTCTACAAGTTTGGATGTTTCTAGTCAACAGATGAAAGCAATGCTGGTCACATCTAAAAATATCACTCACGACATGTTCTGTAATTCATAACCTCCTGTTAGAAAGAAATTAATATTTCTGAAATAAATGCTTAAGAAATTTTTTGATTAAGACTTGCTCTGACAGGCTCGTTTCCCACTTACCCCCACCTCCCCGTTGACTGTCTCCTGACAGTCAAGAGGGTAGTGACATTGAACCAGACTTTCTTTTTAAGCATCTGACCTAACAATTATCAAACGAGTGGTTCTCAAACTATTGTGTGTAACAGAATCAGCTGGGGAGCTTGTTAGAACACATATTTCTGGTCTGTAGTCCAGAGTTTCTGATTCAGTAGGTACGGGGTGCATTCTGGGAATGTATTTCTCGCAAGCTCTCAGGTGAGGTTCATGCTGCTGACCCA